GGGCGTGTGCGTGCGTGTGTGAGCCGACTGCCCCTGCGTCTGTCTATCTGTCTGTCTGTCTGTCTGTCTGTCTGTCTCTGTCAGTGTCTGTCTCTGTCTCTGCCTCTGCCTCTGCCTCTGCCTCTTTCTTTGCCACTGTCTCTGCTGGTCTCTGTCCTTGTCTCTGTCTCTGTCTTTGTCTCTCTCTGTGTCTTTGTGTCTGTGTCTGGCTCTGTCTGTCTCTCTTGTGTCTGTCTCTGTCTCTGTCTCTGCCTCCTTCTGTCTGTCTCTGTCTGTCACTGTCTCCAGGCTGCGCCCGTAGTCCCCTTGTTCAATTAGATTGTGAAATAAACAAAACCAATCAGGGACACTAGACCTCCGTGAAGCCCCAGATTCCATCATTCCAGAGTTAAAAAAGCGGGTTCCATCATCCTAGCCCCCCTTTTCCCAAAAACCAGGGACTCCAATTCGACCCTGCACAATCGCCAGACATCCAGTCTGCCCCAGCCCACGCCACACGCCGGTCCAGACCCCTCGCGCGCCCTCGTCGCCAGGCCAGGCCCAGCCAGTCAAGCTGGACCACACGACCATCCAGCCTCGCCAGCACAACACCCACACAGCCGTCCCCAGCCGTCCCCAGCCTCACGCTCCCAATCTGCACCACCCAGCCTCGCGCGCCCAGCCGTCCCCCCAAGAACGCTCCCACCAAAAACGTCCACACGGCACCACGGCTGTCCCACCCAGCGTGCGCACCCAGTCTGCACGACACGGCCATCCCCCCCCCAGTCAGCCTCCCACACATCCGTCCCAGCTCAGGACAGCTCGGGTGCCTACGATTTGGCCGCACAACAGGCGCACAGCGAAATGGACATCCAAGCAGAACCCAAGCATCAGAGATGCTGTCAGACGTGAAAACGGCCAGGTCGATGAAAAAACCGGTGACCGGTTGTGATTGGAGAGAAATTGTGGGGTTCCAAGTTTTGACGCTTGACACAACAAGGTCAAGGGGGCGAGGGTGTAGAATATGACTCCCGAGGGTGAGCAAAACAATCCCGAGGGCCCGAGGGTGAGCAAAACAAGGCTCCTATAGAGAGAGTTCCCAACAAGGGATTTGAGGGATAAACAAAAGGATTGAAGGGGGCAAAAAACAAAACAAGACAGAGCCACGAACCCGAATGTAAATCACTTTGCGCAAACCCAAGAATAATGAGGGAGAACATTTTCCGGTACGTGTTGGGTGAACAAAAAGACCGGATCCCTTTGGGCTTTGGGACGATTTTTTTCCCGCCGGGCGCGTCTGCACGCGGCGCTGGCGCTCGTGCGGCGTATCCCTTGGGCCCCCCGGCGCACCGCGAAGATGCCCGCCTCGCGCAGCAGAGGCAGCTCCGGATCGGCGTAGCAGTGGGACAGCAAGGTGGGCCTCAGTGGCGGGTCGGGCTGGCTACTCACAGCATAAACCCGTGGAGTATAAGCCCAGTAGTCTTGATCCCACCCAACCTAGAAAACTGACGCTGGGAACCACCAAGGTGTGTCTTAAAATGGGGGACCCTCGGCCCAAAAAAACAACAAACAAATGGGGTGTTCCATGTGGCTGTGGCTCAAAAATACATGTACCAACATAGATCCCTGGCAAATGGAAACATGGACTAAAGCCTACGGTCCATATCCTTTTGGTTTGATTTTGACCCATACCCATCTGAGGATTCCAATCGATAGCCCAATGACTCACCGGCCAGACTAAGTCGCAAACAAAGCGTACACTTTTTGGGCCAGCACTAAAATAAACAAAGAGCCAGCAAGGAAAAAAGTGTAAAGGGTGTCCACTGGCTGGGAAAGATTAAAACATCAGGAAACCCAAACCAAATGATGCCCCTGCTATTTAAACATATGAATTTAAGCCAGCTTTGTTGACACAACCCCTTTCTGGTTTCCCTTTTGAGGGGACCAGGGTTGGGTTGCTGAATCAGTGGGTGGTCAGTGTGCTCAACACCCATCGTGTTTTTTGGACCAAGCAGGTCATAAAGGTTCAGGTAGACCTCACAGTCACACGACCCAACTTTTGCCCTTGAAGAGAGTTTTTTTTCCTGTACTAAAACGTACGGGGCGCAAGATTCGAGATGCTTTTGGCGGGCTCACAAGAAAGCCATCAAGCCCTCGCTGGTCGCCTTCTCAACATGGTATTGCAAGTTAGCAAGCGTGTCTGTCTCAAAGGGAAACACCCAGAACTCATGGGTGTGGCCAAAAATTAAGCAGGAGGGGCAAACCGCAGGTTTTGGTCCATGTTTCCACTTGCCAGGGCAACCCATTTTGGCATTCCGGTTTTTTGAGCCACAGCCTCATGGTTTTCAAGGGAAGCCAAAACAAACCCAACTTCGGGGTCCGTAATTTTCCGTCACCACAGGCTTTTTGCATGGCTGGGACCAGCACGCTGATAAAACCCAAGGCGACACGGCTTGCGAGCATGCGCGCAAACCAGCAGCCTTTGTGGGGAGCCACACACCAAATGCTTGAGACTGAAATGACTGAAATGAGCTCATCCCCAACAAAGAAGCCTATAGGTCAAATCATGCTTTCTTCAAAATGGAGCTTTGGCCAAGCCGATTTTCCATAATCCCTACAACCACTACAAAGGGAACCCCTTTCGTAACCCAAGGCCCAAGACTTGCCCTTTGTCTGCCGAGCTCGCGGCAAGCCGCCGGAGAGGCGCAGGAATTCCGCGGCCTCCCAAACAAAATGCTCAGCTTGGGACGCTGGAAAGAGTTGTGGTTCTGTCACCGGGCGGGTGCCATGCGCTCGTGTGCCTGCCATTGTCCTTCTGGCACTTTTGCGTATCGAAACCGTCCCTTCAACTTCCTGCACTGTTCGCTCGGATTCACCGACCAAAATTCAGGAATGCCTTTAAGTACGAAACATGTCATGGACTAGGTCCTCCAGTAGACAGGTTAGAATAAGGCTAGCCCCTTTTTTCTAGTGTCTATTTTAGTAGGGGAACCGAATCTCCCCCAAAACAGAAACCTGAGAAAGGGCGCGATCCCGGAAAACATGTACTGGACCTTCCTTGAGGCGGGGCAAAAAAAACACGCCCTTTGCGAGCCCGCCGTTAAAACAAAAAAAACGCTGCTTCACCGCGCCCGAGGCGAGTCCTTCGCGAGCCCCGCCTCGGGGCTTTCGAAGAGGACGTTGCCGCAAAGCCTCCGAGGGTTTCGTCGGCGGACTGAAGCGGTGAAGCAGAGGTGTGGGTCCACATCTCAGCCCAGTGCCCATGGAAAAAACTTGAACATCGGCATGTTTTTTTTTGGGGTTGGTTGGGTTTCACGCGGAACCCTTCCCCCCAAAAAAAGAAGAGAATTAACGGGCGCCACCGGGAAACAAAGAAATTCAGCCGCAGGAATCGGACCGCGAGGTTTAGTCCTTGCTTCCATTTACCGGAGTTCCATTTTGGGGTTACCCAATTTTGGACCCACACCCAAGTTTGCTCCGGTGCAATTGGTTGCTATATCACATTAAATGAATTATGCTACTAGTCCTTCAATGTCAATGTGAGCAAGGCCATGTGTGAAAAACCACACTCAACTATTGTTGGATGCTCTTGGTTCACAGCGTAGGTACCTCAGTTGCCAGCCATTTCCGGAATCAAGCAATTCCTAGCAGGCGAACCAGCATCTTGAAAGCCCCTCATGCTGGGATTCCCTGCACGTGATGGAACAAATGCTCAGATTCTGTTTTACATAGTCCATAGAATATACAATGGATATCCTGTTTCTAGGATACCCCTGCTTTGGCGGCTTTAAAGGGACACCAAGAGAAAAACGCCACATAACACCACCATTTCGGGTGTCCCAAGAAAAGGAGACATGCTCAACTCCGTCTTGGAGGAGACCGAGACTTTGGAAATCAAAGCTCGCAAGCCCCTCCCATATGCCCTCCTCTCCACGCCATTGCCAAAACATCGCCTTGCTGGTGCCCCTCTCCTGAGCCCGCTCTTGAGAGGCTTGGGGAATGAACGCATGAAGCTATGAAGCATGCCGGCGCCATCCCCCGTACTTTAAGGGGAAGGGGGGTGGGGGATCCCCAATCCGATGTATTTAGTCTTCCCCAAAGGGAACATGGAACCACAAATTTAAAGGAACGCCAGGGGTCACCCTCCCCCAATTCCACTTGGGTCGAGATTCAAAACGAAAACAAAACAAAAACTTTAAAAAATGGCCCCCCATTCCATTTCTGAGGCGGACATCCGGAAATCCGGCGGTCCGGGATCCGCCTGAGTTGCGTCACCAACTGCCCGGCGAAGGCCGCCTTCACCGCCTCAGGTTCGGCTTCTTGGCTCAGCCGTGGACCCGGGTCTGGAAGCCCCAAGCCCAAAAAAACCAGCGGCCTGCTGCGCGGCCTGTGTGTTTGCTTTGTTGAGGCTACCCCTTTTCTTTCGGTTCCTGAAAAGGGAATAATTAAAAGGAAAAGCACCGGAGGTGAACAGTTTTCACACCTATGCTTGATTCTGTGTTCCGTATTTGGGGAACCTTGAAATGTAACGTGTCGAACACTTCTGGGGAATTACTCCCCTTCCTCCCCCGCCCCAGCTGTTTGCATGGACAAGTGTCCAAGGGATCTCTCTTGGGCCCACTAGCCCTACCTTGGGGGTTAAACACTTACTCTGGTCGAGGTTCAGGAAGCCACTTGAGCCGCTTGCTCAAAACCGATCGGTACTAAAAATGGTCGTAATCCGAGAACCATGGACAGGAATTACTTACCCCTTAAAACTCCCTGCGCCCTGGGGAAGTCAATCTTTTGCACACATATAGCCCATGTTACCCAAAAAGTTTCGAAAAGTTGTGTTTTTAAGAGGTAAGATTAAGAAGGCGGCCGCAGCTATTTCTGGCTGGGATCGTCCCTTAACCTTCATCTACCCGGGTTTTGATTGTGGCTCACTTGAGCATGACACATGCCACTAGCCTCAAACAACAATTGGCCGATAAGAAAGCATTCTGTCGAGCCTGCTATCGTCGTTCAGAACGGAATCTCGCATCGGTGGGTGTCTGTGAGCATAGCAATAGCTGCTGGCAGGCTTGCAAGGGCGCAATCCGAGGTATGCTGATCTCGACCAATGCCAAACACACCACACTCATGCCAAGCCTAGCCCAAACAAAACAAGCCATGCACTTAGCCTATGCAACACAAACACACAAAAACAAAACCGCAAACAACCAATACCTTTCAGGGGCCAAATCATTTTGCGACTTCCGGGATATTAATCCAAAAACAAAACATGATCGTGGCGTCGTGCATGTAATTCTTCAGCCCCTTTGCTTCCACAAAACCTCCCCATCCGTGCCTTTCAAACGAACGCTCCGTTTGGTCCCCGGGCAGCCGTGGGGTCTCCCGATTTCGGCTCCTGGGGCCCGAGGATCGCCCGCGAAAGGCGCACCGGTTCACGTCTAAACTGAAGGCCATGTCTAAACTGACTAACATGGAGAAAAACGGAACCTCCTCCAGTAGAGAGGTTAGAATAAGGCTACCATTTTTTTTCCGGTTTTGTCTATTTTAGTAGGGGAACCCTCCCCAAAAAAAAAGGTAAAAGGGTACTACTGGGGGACCTAGCCAATGATGGGCTTGTCTTGCAGGGAAATGCCACAATGCCGCCGGGCTTTCCTTTACCACCACAAAAGAAATGGGGGTGCACCCATATGGTTGGTGGACACAAATTCCAAAATGATGTCCACTGGGTTCAATCAGCCCCGTGATACCCCATTGTCCGCTTTGCACGATCCTATGTATGTACCAACATTTGACCCACTTAGGGTAAATAGGGTAACAGCGTGAGACAAAAATGCATGCATGAAGTCTTTAAAGTTGCTCATGTGATGTGGCACCCGTCAGCTGGCAATTTAATGTGACATGTTGACTTGCGTCCTGCCGCGCTGGCAGCTCGACCCCGGTCTCCGCCACAGCCTTGGGTAAAGGCTTCAGACGGGGTAAGACTCAAGCAAGCACTTTTGTAAACTGGCTGGTTCTTTCTTGGTTCCCCTTGAGAACTACCAAAGGGGCCCCTAAACTGGCTGGATCCCGTTTGGTTTGCACTTAAACTCCAAAGCTGAGCTCACCGTTTCGAGAAACACTCCAATGGGCGGGACACCCATCAGAGCTAGCTCCTTCGGCGCCAAAAACCGAGCGGCAAGCACGAAAGAGCAGAAGGTTCTGAAGGCAAAAACATGCTGGCGGATATTACTTTACCGGCCCACGATTGATGTCAAACATGCGATGTCGGTGAGGCAGCATCAGCACTTACATGCCGAAACAGTGGTTCGAACAAAGGGGCCCGTTTGTTTGAGGTTTAGGCAAAGCTGCTTAAGCTGAGGTTCTCTGTGTGTAGCGCCTCGATCCAGTGTTTCTGAAGGACCCCTCCAAATGATTGGCGGCGTCCCACGTTCTTTGCAAGTGGACCGAGAGGGTCCGTTTTGACAAATGGACCAGCTCTGAGAAGTCACTCGGAGTCGCAAATCCAACTCAATAATATATAATTCTAGGGGCACCTTCCCCATTCTTTCCAGGGTACACCCAGGAAAAAACGGCAAGTTTTTGGAAAAAACGATGGTTGAAAAGAATGGGGAATCAACCCCAAGAATCATGGCCATATGGCGCAGTCGGTGGCGCTGACCATATGCAAGGCATGTGCGCAGGTTTGAAACGGAGCGCGCCATGTGCCGGTTAGGAGTGCCACGTAGATGCGCTTAGTAAATGTGCCAGGAATGTGCGCCGGCGACGGAGCGTGCGGGTGGGTTCGCTTACCATGTACCAGGGATGTATGTGGGCGTGCGACGGAGTTCATGGGCAGGTGCGCTTAGTATGTGCCAGGCATATGCGTCGGCGTTCGACGGAGTGCGTGGGCGGGTCTGAACCTCGCAAACCCACGTATTGTGTTTCGCTGACGAAAAACAAGTTTGTGTGTGTGTGTGCATGAATGCCATCAGACTCAATGACTAAACGATTCTCAGTGCCTAACACGGAGCACTAACCACGGCTGATCCAAACAAAAGCAAACATAATTCAAATCTCTAAAAAGGCTTGGATCCAGCAGCAAGTCGGAGCCAAATATTCGTTCAACATATGTAAGGCTTTCTGGAGAAACACATTGCAATAAGGTACTGAGTCAGACCAGGGCGATCCGACTTTCTGGGTGAATTCCTGTTTGAAAAAGGGTCTCCTTGCCCTTGTGACGCAGCCTAAAATAGAGGACCCCCCCTCCCCCGTTTCAGTAAATCAAGGAAACCACCCATGTTTTTGGGGGTCCCTTATTTTCAGAAGTGAAGTGGAGCCGTTGAAGTTCTGAAGTGAACCCTCGGGCCAGAACTAAGGCAGCAGCCGCAGTCCCAAATCCTTGGCCCAGGGCTCCAACTTGACACATCGCACCAGGAGATGCCAAGCTGACCCAGGGTTTGCCTAGGACCTGCAGTAGAGAGGCTAGAATATTGGCACCCTTTTTTCTGTAGTCTATTTTAGTAGGGGAAGCCTCCCCCAAAAAAGGGGTAGAAGGGCACTACTGAGGGACCTAGTTGCAAACATACCTGGCACTGGTCCGCCTCACTTCCTGAGTGGATTGGCAGAAAAAAGTCCAAACTTTTGATTTAGTGTTGGCTATTCCCGGGCTTGTATTAGGGGATTGTTTAGCATTAGGAAGAAGGGATTACCCTCTAAAATTGTTGTTCGAAAAAAGTTTTAAAGTCCAGGAACCTCAGGAAGTGAGCCACGGGCAAACGGTTTGAAGCCAACTCTGAATCGAGCGCCAACGGATGCCCCGCAAAAGCATAGCTCTCAGCAATACAAAACTGTGCTCGCGCATGGGAAACTCCGCCGACAACAGACGGCGTGTTGGATACAAAAAATGCTCCTTGCCTCTTTACCTGTTACCCCTCCCCTAACCCCTCCTCAGGGGCACCATTTCAGACTCTTGCGGTGGGGGGGGGGTCCACGTACCACGCGGTGATTCGAAGACGCTTCACTAAATCTGTTCATTGCGCGAGCTTGCGCAACGCAGTTTGTCAAAAACATTGGGGTGTTCGATTCCCCCCGGGTGCGCTTTCGCATCCTCAGCAGCTCCAGTGGCACATCGCCAACATCACCTGCATCATCCGCAGCAGCGCGTGCCAAGGATGCGGATGATGCAAGTGATGCTGGGGATGTTGCCCATGCTGGTGAAGGAAATGAAGGGGGGAAAGGGGGAAAGGATCTCAACAGCGAAAGGGGGGGAAAGATCTCAGGGAGGACAGGGAGAAGATCTGGGGAAAAAATGCCTTAAGGGGGAAAGGGAGGAAAAGATCTTTGGGAGGAAAAGGGAAATCTTTCTCGGGGGGAACAGGCCCTAAGGGGCAATGGGGGGACAGGATCTCAAACGGGAAAGGGGGAAAAAGACTTTGGGAACAAAAGGGTGAAGATCTTGGGGGGAAAAGGCCTTAGGGGGAAAACAGGGGAAAGGATCTTAAGCGGGAAAGGGGGGAAAAGATCTTAGGGAGGCAAAGGGAGACGAACTCAGGGAAAAGGACTTAGGGAGGAAAGGGGGGGAAAGATCTTTGGGAGGAAAAGGGAGAAGAACTGAGGGTGGGAAAAGGCCTTAGAAGGAAAAGGGGGGAAATAAATGATCTCAACAGGGAACTGGGGGGGGGGGGAAAGATCTTAGGGAGGAAAGGCAGAAGATCTGGGCAAAAAGGCCTTAGGGGGGAAAGGGGAGAAATGATCTCAACAGGGAAAGGGGTGGAAAAGATCTTAGGGAGGAAAGGGAGAAGATCTGGGGAAAAAAGGCCAACAGGGAAAGGGGGGAAAAGATCTTAGGAAGGAAAAGGGAGAAGCTCTCAGGGGGGGAAAGGCCTTGGGAGGGAAAGGGGGGAAAGGATCTCAACAGGAAAGGGTGGGAAAGATCTTAGGGAGGAAAGGGGGGGGGGGAAGATCTTAGGGAGGAAAGGGAGAAGATCTCGGAGAAAAGGACTTAGGGGGGAAAGCCCAACAGGGAAAGGGGGGAAAAGATTTAGGAAGGAAAAGGGAGAAGCTCTCAGGGGGGGGAAAAGCCTTAGGGGGGAAAGGGGGGAATGGATCTCAGCAGGGAAAGGGGGGGGGGGAAGATCTTAGGGAGGAAAGGGACAAGATCTGGGGACAAAGGCCTTAGGGGGGAAAGGGGACAGGGAAAGGTGTGGAAAAGATCTTCGGGAGGAAAGGGAGAAGATCTGGAAAAAAAAGGCCAACAGGGAAAGGGGGGAAAGATCTAAGGAAGGAAAAGGGAGAAGCTCTCAGGGGGGGGAAAGGCCTGAGGGGGGAAAGGGTGGGAAGGATCTCAACAGGGAAAGGGGGGAAACAATCTTAGGAAGGAAAAGGGAGAAGATCTGGAAAGGCCTTAAAGGGAAGGGGGGAAAGGATCTCAACAGGGAAAGGGGGCAAAGGATCTTAAGGAGGAATAGGAAGAAGATCTCAGCGGGGGGAAAGGCCGTAGGGGGGAAAGGGGGAAAGGATCTCAACAGGGAAAGGGGGGGAAAGATCTCAGTGAGGAAAGGGAGAAGGTCCCAGGCAGGGAAAAGGCCTTAGGGGGGAAAGGGGGAAAGGATCTCAACAGGGAAAGGGGGCAAAGGATCTTAGGGAGGAAAAGGGAGAAGATCTGAAAAGGCCTTAGGGGGAAAAGGGGGAAAGGAGCTCAACAGGGAAAGGTGGGAGAAGATCCTAGGGAGGAAAAGGGAGAAGATCTCGGGGGGAAAGGGGGAAAGGATCTCAACCAAGGGAAAAGATCTTGGGGAGGACAAGGGAGAAGATCTCAGGGGGGGAAAGGCCTTAGGGGGGAAAGGGGGGAAAGGATCTCAACAGGGAAAGGGGGCAAAGGATCTTAGGGAGGAAAAGGGAGAAGATCTTGGGGGGGAAAACGCCTTAGGGGGGAAAGGGCGGGAAAGGATCTCAACAAGGAAAGGGGGGAAAAGATCTTAGGAAGGAAAAGGGGGAAGATCGCGGGGGGAAAAAAGGCCTTAGGGGGGAAAGGAGGGAAAGGATCTCAACAGGGAGAGGGGGGAAAACATCGTAGGGAGGAAAAGGGAAACACTCAGAGGGAGAAAGGGCCTTAGGGGGGAAAGGGGGAATGGATCTCAACAGGGAAAAATGGCAAAATATCTTAGGGAGGAAAAGGGAGAAGATCTCAGGGGGGGGGAAGGCCTTAGGGGGGAAAGGGGGGAAAGGATCTGAGCAGGGAAAGGGGGGGAAAGATCTTAGGGAGGAAAGGGAGAAGATCTGGGGGCAAAGGCCTTAGGGGGGAAAGGGGAGAAATGATCTCAACAGGGAAAGGGGTGGAAAAGATCTTAGGGAGGAAAGGGAGAAGATCTGGGGGAAAAAAGGCCAACAGGGACAGGGGGGAAAGATCTAAGGAAGGAGAAGCTCTCAAGGGGGGAAAGGCCTCAGGGGGAAAGGGTGGGAAGGATCTCAACAGGGAAAGGGGGGAAACAATCTTAGGAAGGACAGGGGGGGGGAAGATCTTAGGGAGGAAAGGGAGAAGATCTGGGAGAAAAGGACTTAGGGGGGAAAGCCCAACAAGGAAAGGGGGGAAAAGATCTTAGGAAGGAAAAGGGAGAAGCTCTCAGGGGTGGGAAAGGCCTTGGGAGGGAAAGGGGGGAAAGGATCTCAACAGGGAAAGGGTGGGAAAGATCTTAAGGAGGAAAGGGGGGGGAAGATCTTAGGGAGGAAAGGGAGACGATCTGGGAGAAAAGGACTTAGGGGGGAAAGCCTAACAGGGAAAGGGGGGAAAAGATCTTCGGAAGGAAAAGGGAGAAGCTCTCAGGGGGGGGAAAGGCCTTCGGGGGGAAAGGGGGAAAAGGATCTCAGCAGAGAAAGGGGGGGGGGAAAGATCTTAGGGAGGAAAGGGAGAAGATCTGGGAGGGGAAAGGACCTCAACAGGCAAAGGGGGCAAAGGATCTTAGGGAGGCAAAGGGAGAAGATCTTGGGGGGGAAAACGCCTTAGGGGGGAAAGGGCGGGAAAGGATCTCAACAAGGAAAGGGGGGAAAAGATCTTAGGAAGGAAAAGGGGGAAGATCGCGGGGGGAACAAAGGCCTTAGGGGGGAAAGGAGGGAAAGGATCTCAACAGGGAGAGGGGGGAAAACATCGTAGGGAGGAAAAGGGAAAAACTCAGAGAGAGAAAGGGCCTTAGGGGGGAAAGGGGGAATGGATCTCAACAGGGAAAGGTGGCAAAAGATCTTAGGGAGGAAAAGGGAGAAGATCTCAGGGGGGGAAAGGCCTTAGGGGGGAAAGGGGGGAAAGGATCTGAGCAGGGAAAGGGGGGGAAAGATCTTAGGGAGGAAAGGGAGAAGATCTGGGGGCAAAGGCCGTAGGGGGGAAAGGGGAGAAATGATCTCAACAGGGAAAGGGGTGGAAAAGACCCCAGGGAGGAAAGGGAGAAGATCTGGGGGAAAAAAGGCCAACAGGGAAAGGGGGGAAAGATCTAAGGAAGGAAAAGGGAGAAGCTCTCAGGGGGGGGGGAAAGGCCTGAGGGGGGAAAGGGTGGGAAGGATCTCAACAGGGAAAGGGGGGAAACAATCTTAGGAAGGAAAAGGGAGAAGATCTGGAAAGGCCTTAAAGGGAAGGGGGGAAAGGATCTCAACAGGGAAAGGGGGCAAAGGATCTTAAGGAGGAATAGGGAGAAGATCTCAGCGGGGGGAAAGGCCGTAGGGGGGAAAGGGGGGAAAGGATCTCAACAGGGAAAGGGGGGGAAAGATCTCAGGGAGGAAAGGAAAAAGATCCCAGGGAGGAAACGGCCGTAGGGGGGAAAGTGGGGGAAAGGGAACAGGGAGAGGGGGGAAAACATCTTAGGGAGGAAAAGGGAAAAAATCAGAGGGAGAAAAGGCCTTAGGGCGGAAAGGGGGAATGGATCTCAACAGGGAAAAATGGCAAAAGATCTCAGGGAGGAAAAGGGAGAAGATCTCAGGGGGGGAAAGGCCTTAGGGGGGAAAGGGGGGAAAGGATCTCAACAGGGAGAGGGGGGAAAACATCTTAGGGAGGAAAAGGGAAAAAATCAGAGGGAGAAAAGGCCTTAGGGCGGAAAGGGGGAATGGATCTCAACAAAGAAAGGGGGGGCAAAAATCTCAGAGGGGAAGGGGGCAAGGGGACAATTCCAAAGGGACGCAAATAAGAAAGCAGGCCTGTAATGTCGGCGGCCTGAGCCGGAGGCGTTAAAATTTGACAAGTGTTGCTGCCCAGCTGGTCATATCATTCTATATAGGACCAAGTGCGTTGAGTGGCGACATAGCTACAAGAACAAGCCGTAACAAGCCCATCACATCGTGATCTGCTTCAAAGCAAAAGGGGCATCGTTGGTCTGCACTTATGGAGAATGATAAGCCCTTCAATTTACAGCTGCAGCAAATCGCTCACGATGCATCCACCAAATGCTTAGCGCGCAGTTTGCGTGTTTGAAGAGGCCGACAAATGGCAGGTCGTTGCCAAGTTGAGCTCCCGCAAGAAGCGCCGACAGAGGTTGAGCGAGTTTAGTTGATATATGGCCATGGGTCAAAACCCCTTATCCCCAGTGAACATCCCAATCCCCACAAAAATAGACTAAAACTGGTGGTGCACCTATCCCAAAATTGGATCCCATTGGTTTTGAACTATGGCCATATCTTGGCAGACAGCCCTCTGTTTTTTCACAAGTCCGGGAGTGAAAAGCTTCTGCCACAGTCTGTTAAATCTTTGGTCCAGTTTCTATGATCGACGGGTGCGAATCACAAGTAGGACACAGCTGAAGCAACTCCCTGCGTGGGAGTGGACCCTGAAAAAATTGTAAACTTATATGGGCATGCTTTTTGAAGGGTACCCGCTACCCCTGCTTTGTGGTTTTCGGGCGAAAAAAAGAGGAACCCCCCTGACCCATCGTCAACTGCGATTTTTGTAACGGGGGGGCAGTGTTCCCCGCGTGGAAGGGAATCAATTCATGCCGGTGGTGTGTCTTCCACCAGCAGAGGACAGCAACAAGGAGCAACCTCCTGTACGCTCCCCTACGGGGCCAAACATAGGTGGCCATTTGGACAAAATAGATGTCCCTGGTCAATGGGGCACAAAACCAATCTAAACCAGTGGAAGCTCGCCGATCAAAAGGACCCTGGGGCTAAAATCTGGTCGTTTAGACAATCTTCACCACCAACCCTGCGAGGTACTCACTCGCGCAAAGGACCCATTGAATAAGTTCACGTCGATCGCCTTTTTAGGGGCCTTCCCCTTGGGGCGGACAGAGAAAAAAACGCCAAGCACCGAGCCACGAAAGAGCCTGGGCCCCCCCGGCGCAGGTGGTGCAGCGCCGCCATCAGCTTCACGTTGCCCCAGAGGTACAGACCTCCATCCGCGCGCCGGGTCCATCGAATGCGGAGAAGCTGCTGCGCGTGTGGTTCGTGTGTCTGAGGCGACTTCTTCTTGTGGTGTTGAAGCAAAACCACCCCTTCTTGTGGTGGTGTGAAGCAAAACATAGCAAAACTCAGAGGAAGAAACCGGAAGCCATTTTGGGTGTCTCAAGAAACAAAAAAGGAACAATAGAACAATATTGAGTCCCAGATCGAAGGATTGCACATCTTGTGGCCCAATTGGAAAAAATGGGGCTGGCGACTTGGCACAGCATAAACCCGTGGTATAAGCCCACCAGTAGTTTCTGGATTAAGCCATGGCATTCTGGGAAACCTGCCAAAGTCTGCCAGACTGCAGACTTAAACCGACAGGTTTATGTATTAGGGTCCATAGCCTTATCTGAGCTTGCCTCACCCCAAGAAAGGCTGAGAGTCAACACAAACGATAGGTTCATGTCAGGCTTGCTGGTGCTCAGTAAAGAAGGTGGGAAACCCAGAAAATCCCCTGTAAGAAAACCACCAGTTGGTTTATCTCGGTGTCAGAAGCCATGTCTCATTCCCGTGGCATCTCTCGCTCCAGCAACATATGGCTGTGGCTCAACAAACATAAGGACTCCCCAAATGGAATCACCAAAAGGTACATGGAAACCAAGACCAACACCTGGGTATCCCCCGACTCTTCATTTTGAGCCACGCCCATATGGCTGTGGCTCAAAAAACCGGTACCGAAATGGAACCCTGGCAAGTGGAAACATGGACGCCAAAACCTGCGTAACCCCGCCTCCTCAATTTTGAGCCACACCCATGGCCATGGGTCAAAATCCCGTAATTATTTCGGTGAACATCAAAATAGGTGGCAAATGGATTGAACTCATCCACCCCAAAATGCAAAATGGGATCGCCATAGCTTATGCAACCCAGGTTTCCATCTCAGAGTTGGCCTCATAACTTGGGGGGAAGGCTTGGTTGACGTTGGAAGGGGAGATTTGGATTTCAACCACTAAACCACAAATTCAGCAAAATGGGGAAAAACATGTTTCCCAACAACAACCATGAACCATCCCTAAGGGACTCCCCTTCCGGTTCACTCCCAACACCCGGAAGGTCATTCCCTACTTCGCGCTCCGCTCCGCGGAGTCTCCGCGCTCCGCGCCTGCGAGCTTGGGGGGGAAGGTGCCGCAGGGCAGGGCAGCCAAGTCCTGGGAGTGCGGAGGGCACCCAGTTGGTGGGGGTTTTTGGGTATGGGGTTGATGTCTTTGGGGCTTTTGATTTTTGGTAGGTGTGGGGGGGGGGGGGTTGGGGCGTTTGCGGTATGTGGGGGGGGGGAGGGGGTAGGGGCGTGTTTTGTTTTTGGTATGGGGGGGGGGGGTTCTTCTATCTGTTTTTTTTTTGTGTTCCATTTAGGAAAGCCCCAGTTCTGACCAAGGGGAAGGTGTCCCATGTGAGAAGTATCAAATCTGTTTAGTGGTGTTCCAACCAATGGTCATGCCATGAACAGGACCTTTTGATCAACCACCATGTGGGTGATCACTGGGGAACCCGCTGGCACATCGTCTTTTTGTTCCATCTCTGAGGATATGTGGAAACATCTAGAGAAGGACAACAGCTGAAATATTTGTCCGGCTTCTTGTTGAGGGTACCCCATGTTTTATGGTTCTAAACAAAGATCACCTCTTCGCGCGCCTCTATGCGTTTCACTGTCTACTTTCCCTGCACATACCTCTACGCGCTTCAGTGATTCACTCTGTGCCCTGCGCAAGGAAAACAACTACTTTAGGAGGTCCCCTTCAAAAAGACGCACCCGTACTATCCTCAAGATCCAACGCTGCGAGTCCCCGGTCTCGTAGGGTCAGGAGCCACAGGCTGTGGATTCACAGCGCTGCCAAGTGGGGCCCGGTGAAGTTTCGAGGTGTGGGGGTTGGGAGTTCGGTTTCCAGAACCAGGGCTTCAAGTCTGTAAATCCGTGCCACCCATCCAGACCAAGTAGGCATTACCCTCCCACCAACTAACATGGAACCTGACGTTCAGGGGTCCAACACCGTTGTCCTTTTAAAGGGACCGCGGAACATCAGGTTCCATGCTCATTGGTGGGAGGGTACCTGAAAAGATGTAGGTAAACGAGTAAAACCACTAAACTTCCAGTCAACCAGGCGCCTGAGGGAATGCAGGATGTGAGATTAGCCGGGTAAAATCGAGAGCATCGCCTAAGCCTATATATCTCCTTGCAAACACGACTTGTTCAGGGAGCTGTGGCCCACCAAAAAAAGTTGTCCTGCTGTTCAACGGGAAGAGGGACGTGTGACCCTATCAAACACACCCAGTGTATTATCTTGATCCGTCTCAAGCAACCAAGCGGTCAACTCAAGTTGAACCACACATCACTTTGCACTTCTGAGCTTGACATCAAGTCATCAATATGCCGCAGTCCTGCCGCATGGTTATTGCATGATCACGTCCTGGTGCATTCAAGCGAAACTGGCAGCGAAAAACAGTGGCTTCTTGCAGCAAGCTTTTTCCCTCAGCTCACGCTCGAAAAGCCACTACTAGGTCCTCCAGTAGAGAGGTTAGAATATGGGTACCCTTTTTTCCTGTAGTCTAATTTAGTAGGGGAACCCTCCCCCAACAAAGGGTGAAAGGGCACTACTGGGGGACCTAGACTATTGTTTCAAGTTCAAGGTTTGGTGTTGGAGGGTGTTGGACAATTATAAACAGGATGCTGTGGCAATCACCCCACCCCTTTCCCCACCATCCCCATCTCCATCCAAGCGCCGCCAAAGGGCCACTGCACAAAGAAGCATCTCCCGAAAGGCGCCCTGCGAGTCTTCCAGCTGCTTGAGTTGCTTGCCAAGAATTCAGAGCCCGGAACTGAGGGCTGCAAGTACGGACTCCATGGAGATGCAATCTGGCTGTTGTCAAAAATAGGTACCCCAAATGGGTTGCCCTAAGTGGAAACATGGAAACCAAAACCTGTGATGCCCTGGCAGCCTGGTGGTGTAATTTTGACCCATGCCCATCTACTGCTAGATCATTCATCTCAGGCCCTAAGAACTTCCCATGGTGAACTGCGCTCAAGTCTAATGCCTAAAGCCTCGCGGGTCGTGCCCAAAACACACAAATGTCAAGCACCGCAAAATACGCAAAGCAAGCTTGTGCGGCCCGTGGCCGGACTGCGACACTACGTAAAAGGCAGCTAAGCAGGAGTTGCCAGCAATGCCTACTCTTGACCCGATTGGAATGGGACCTGTGTTGCTGGCGCTCGCTTTTAACATGACACTTGCCGCAAAACCCACTGGTCAAGGCCTTGTTGCTCTTACAGGCCGATGCTTGAGTACCTTATTCAGCACTTCTGCGCCACCTGCCTCTTCCTCGCTTTGCTCATGCTCCTCAGGGCGAACACTCAGGACCGAAGGCCAGCATAGGACACTCATGAAGCTCTGGGTACCACGGTCTCAGAACTCTTCGCAGTCTGGATCGCAACCATGAAACCCATTGCAAGAACACGGGCAATGCGTGGCAAGCTGTCTCACAAGAAGTTGGTGGACAAAAAAATGAACCAACCAGTTCCATGTAGCACCGGCACGAGTGCATGTGACATAAAGGTGTCTACGGCATAAAAAGGCGATACCCAAGAGATACGCACAGCCGTGCCCTATTGTTCAAAATCCGAATCCAGTCGTGTTCTGAATCTTCACCTTCGTGCCCGGTTCAGCTTCGTTCAAACCTGTGAAGGATGTCGACCCGTTGCGTGTCCAGAGGCCGGCATCCGCCATCTGCCCCACCAATGCCACCAATTCCCGCAGAGCAAGGCAAGCTCTCAGCAAAGCCTGCATGTTTGCATGCGCAGTGCTTGTAGTTCTTCTGTGACCTGATTAACGCTTCTGGGCAATTCAGGCAAAACGAAGCCTACTTTCACCCTTCGACGCGTCAGCGCAACTTCAGAATGCCCCTGTCCTCCAAGCCACGCGCAGCAAGCCTTAGCAGTCGGAAACAAACAAACCCCAATGCCTTGACTGACCAGCGCCGCCCTCTCCATCCGCTACACGTCCCCAAAATGGAACCCTGTCCGCTTCACGCAGGCATCTGGGCAGCAAAGGAAGCAGGAAGCACGTAAGGAATGCACAACCCATCGTCAAACTGAGTGACAGTTGTATTCCCTAAGACATTGAATTTTGGTGAGTCACCCCCATGTCTTTCTGGCATTTGTCGAGTATGCCCCATGTGGACCACAAGCATTGATCGTTGCTCGAAGGGCTTCAAGTGGTCAAGCCTAGCGAGATGCCTGTCTGCAAGCCAGATTCTCGGCTTTCGGAAACGAACCAACAAACAACCAAACAAAAAGGAAACAAAGAAAGAAACACCAACAAGCAAAAACACACAGACACACAAACACGCACAATTGATCAAGCAAGCAAACTGCAAACAACAAGCAAAAAAGGAAAACAAACAAGCAAAAAAGGAAAACAAACAAGCAACCAAACAAACAAAACATAGAACATAAAACAACCAACACATACAAAACCAACAAGCACGCACACAAACAAACACAAATAAACAACAAAACACGCACACACACACACACAGCAGTCAACACAAACAAACAAACACACAAACAAACAGGACAAAAACAAACAACAACCCCAACAAACCAAAACGACCACACACATTCACAAGCAATGAACACAAAACAAACCAGAGCAAAACCAGCAAAACACACAAAATAAACCAGACCAAAACAAGCAAACAACAAACCATCAAACAGGAAAAAAAAAACACCCCAACCCAAACCAACACAAACACACAAACCAACAAAACAAAACAAACCAGACCAAAACAAACGAACAAGCAAACAACCAAACAAACCAGAAAGCAAGCAAACAAGCAACACAACACAGCACAACACAGCACAACACAGACAGCACAACAGAGCACAACAAAACACACCACAACACAACACACCACAAACAAACAAACAAACAAACAAACAAGCAAACAAACGAACGAACAAACAAACAAACAAACAAACAAACAAACAAACAAACAAACAAACAAACAAACAAACAAGCGCGCAAGCAAGCAAGCAAACAAACAAACAAACAAGCAAACAAGCAAACAAACAAGACAAACAAAACAAACCAGACCAATCAAAACAAACCAGACCAAACAAAACAAACCAGACCAAACAAAACAAACGGAAAAAAACAAAAAAAACAATCAAACAAACAAATTCAGACAAAGAAACAAGCAAGCAGCATTTGCAAACCATTGGCAGATCTTTGCTCCCGTGCAACTTTTCTCTCCCTTCAACCCCTCCCCCGAAGCCCCCCCAAAAAAAACCGCTGCGGAGGGGCGCTGCCACATCCAAGTCCTCCGCGTGAAGCGTCAGCACCTCACAGGCAGAGGCAGGAGCGATGTCCAGCTCCAGCCTCAGATCGGCCAGGCGCGGTCCGCTTTGAACAGAAAGGGTACTGGGCTGTCCGTTTTCAGATCCCCTGCTAAAAGTTTAACTTGTGGGTGAAATGCAAATCCCCACTAAGCACTAAAAGGAGTAAGGGGATGGCTGGGAGCCGCCAAGTTGCCGCCAAGGGTATACTTTTGTACCCATTGTTGGGTTGGCCCACAGGGAAACCAAAAGAACCCCCCCCCCCATTTAGGGGGGTGCCCCAAAAACGGACACACACACACACCCACTTGACAACTGGCCTTCAGACTTTGGTCAACATCCAAGGATTAGCTGAAGGAAAGCACATCGCCTTGTGAAAATAACATGATCATTTTAGGCTTGTCGGAGAAGCTAACACGATTTCAATGCTGCAGCTTATGCAGAACCATAGTGCATATTGTCTAGAAGTCAGCCCTTTCCAGCATGTGTTTGTTTCAGGACACCCGTTTCTGTGCTGGTTTCAGGGAAACCAAAAGGAAGCCAATCGTGACGCATACCTGCAAAGTAGCAAAAACAGAAAGCTCTTGCCAGCGTTAGAACCTATCTCCCTAGGCTAGCATTGCGCAACTCTGAAGGATGTGAGCGAGAGAGAGGTCTGGCTCTTGCTTAGCAAGGGCATTGGCCTAAATGGTGAAACCCCTGTGTTGGCACACTTAGGCGGAGCCTCATGGACCCAGTTTCCAAAAGGGCCCAAAGCCATTTTGGTAGACTACTGTGGTCAGGCAAACTCGAAGAACCAAGAACCATCTGATTGATTCCTCTCAGGTTAATCCAAAAATGGTGTCCTTTCAGATTCACTCACTCACAAGTTCGCACGTTGGTTTACTGGAGGCCCAGGTGGTTGGTTTACTGGGGGGGAGGGGGGGGAGAACCTTTACTTTCAGGAAACAGCGAACGTCCCATAGCTCACACACCGGACATAACGCATCCCTAAGATCATAATTAACGCATCCCTAAGATAGGAAACCTCATAGGTGAGCGGTTTCGGCTCTTTGCGTCGTTCAATAAGTTGGCCAGGCCGAGGAGGGATTTAGCAGAAGCAACTGGGAGCTGATAAAACCCCATCCGCATTCGGCAGAACCTACTCAAGTGGCTGAAAGCCCCCTTTTAAGGGAGAGGCCAAAATGGGGTTTAAAGCCACAACCCCCAAAATGGGAGCAAGCCCCCCCCAACCACCCCCTGGTTGGGTGTTGGGCACCCTTTCCCCGCGCGCGCGCAAAGGCGCGCGCCTTTTGGGCCCTCCAAAGGGCCGTTTTGGGCGTCCAAAGGGCTTCAGCGAATGGGCCGCTGCCAGCCGCACCAAAGCCGCCGACATCTCCTGCCTCGCCAAGTCCTGGCGCGCCAAATGAGGCGCCAGACTCAGTCGCCCGGTGAAACGGCACAGGGTGGGTGGCCGTCTCTTTCGATGGTACCCTTTTGGGGATGAGTTTAAAGGGAAAAAACAACTGGAAAACCAAAGCCATTCTTGGGGGCACAGCGTTTTTCATGGAAGTTTAATGGAACACCCCGTCGGTTGAAACCTCAAAGTCGCCCAGCCGCCGGCCTGCCAGTTGTTTTTCGTGATGACCCAAGGTTCAAACTGGTCCCTTAGTAGGATTCCTTCTCGTGGACGTCTAAGGTCTAAGCTTTTCCTTAAGCATGCGATGACCATCTCTGACCGACCCGCACTATCCCGTACTGAAAGGGGCAGGGTACTTAGTAGGTGGTTGGTAAGCCTGGTTATAACCAAAGCCATGGTTATAAGTCCCCAAGTGGGTTATAACCAGACTTACCAGGGTTGTGGGAAATGACCACTTCTGTGATACAGCAAAAAGGGCTTCCCAAAGACCAACACCCCATATACAGGCGGAGATTCCCTTGTATCACAGAAGTGGGAATAAACCCCTTGATTCCACAACCCTGAGACTTACTAACCGCTGAATTGACTTTCCCCAGCGTCCCTAGGGCATCTCGACCATGGCCACCGCCGAACCCCAAAACTGCCCCGTCCACAAAGCTGTCATCGCCCAAGAGCCGTCGTGCCAGGCCTTGGTGAGTCAAAACTTGGGATCCCACTGTTCAGCATGGGTTGACTCATCAAAGGACCCAGAAATAACAGGGATCCTTACATTATACACCTGAACATTGCCTTGTAAATGGTGATTTCCCTTTATGTTGGTGGGAAAAGCCATGTTTCAAATGGGCAAGATGTATCTTTTAAGGAGCCCTGAAAAAAAAGAGAGAGTCACAATCAAACCCCGGTAGAATGGTCTACCGAGCCATGTACCCATTGGGATTGTCCCCCAACCTTCGTCTACCGGGTTTTGATGGCTCAAATGATCACCTGTTGGGGCCAGGAAAAATGGACCTGGCAGAACCCAAAGGTCGAAACCACATTCACTCCTCACGCAGTCAGGCTTGTCATTAGAAACTTGGCTGGAGGACCCCAGCAACAACAATATATGTGTTGCCTGGTTAGTGGAAAACAAAGAGAGCCCCAAAACAAACCAACAAAAACAAAGGGAACTAATTCTGGGGAAGAAAACAAAGGCCCACCTGCTCGCGGTCTCAAGCAACCTCAACTGGAGTCTCGAGAAGAGCTTCATGACCGGAGCCAACGGCGCTTCGCATCCAGAACTCTTGGAATTCGAAATTGTCGTATTCTTTTCAGGGTAAGAAATGTGGTGTTGCTTTAAGTGGACACCAACAGGGACACCAACGGGGACACCAACAGGCACTTCATTCCAAGTGGCCAACTGCTCGTTTGAAGCATGGCTCAACGCCCACACAAGGGTCATCTGCTGAACCCGTCCCTCGCTTTGAGGTGCTCCCTCTAGTTAACGCTCGCGATTTTGCCCCCAAACCTTTGCCGAAGTTGCCCCCAACTGGCCCACCACAACCCACCAATTCAAACAAGTCCATGGAATTTGGATTGTCAAGGCTAATTCCAGTCGCCCGAAGGCCATTGCACATCTCCAAACAACAACATCAAAGACATCTCACACTCTGTCACGGGCAGGTTTGTCACCGGCGAGTTGCTTCGTGTTCTTTTCAGGGTACCCATTTTGGTGTTGCTTTAAGTGGGCACCAACAGAGACACCAAAAGGAGCACCACATTCTTATCTACTTACTTTTTGGGGGGACCGAGTTGAGCTGGCCGATAGGTTTGACAAGCCTATTGCTACTTGGTAGCACCGAAATGGGGCCTCGCATCCCGGAAGGTTTTGGAATTTATAATTTCCTCGGAGGCTGCTTCTCAAATCCAAAACGATTTTGGGGGGGTCCCCCATTTTTGGGCAGCCCATGGAGGCCCCCCCCTCCACGAAACCGGGGGCGAGGGGGAGGGAGCTCGTCACAAGGCACTCATGTCGCGCGGGTCGCTCTGAGCAGACGGCGCAAGGCCTCCGGCGATGCCGCGCCAACGCCTCCAATGGGCGCAGATCTCACTTGCAACCAGTGACCTTTCCGAATAGCAAAGGAAGGTCCTCCAGTAGAGAGGTTAGAAAAAGGGTGCCCCTTTTTTCTGTAGTCTATTTTAGTAGGGGAACCCTCCCCCCAAAAAGGGTAAAAGGGCACTACTGGGAAACCTAGGAGCTTGTTCAGGTTGCAAAAAGGGATCAAAGGGCCCACCGACCCAGGTGCGTGATTTTGGCAAACAAATCGTTGGAACCACCATTCTAGGTTGGGACCCACCCACCTAAAAAAAAGAAAGCAAAGAAAAGAGCGGACAAGTCATCCAAAAAAACACCAAACAGTCCGGAGGAAAGGGTCAGTCGTCGCCAAAGAACGGTGGCATAAAATGAATATCTGAACCAGTGGAACCCATCTATTTCTGCACTCACCTGGAAAGGACACCTACTGACAAAATCCTGCACCACTTTCAAACCAGGCTTGAACCCATGGCACAGGGGAATCATCAGAAACTAGTTGCCTTTTCGCCCCCTGGAAAAATGAGAAAATAACAATATTTCCAGCAGTGACATCGGTTCCCTTTAGTTTCATTTGGCAATGGGTCAAAATCCCGTACCCTCAGTGAACATCCCAATCCCCACTAAAATAGACTAAAATGGGTGGTGCACCTACCCCAAAAATGGTACCATTGGTTTTGACCCACAGCCATTTCAGCAAAAGGAAGAGACCCTCGGGCATCTTTTACGTGGAGCGACATGGATTTCACTGAGCAGTCCACGGGGCCGTCACTGAGCCGCTGGCCATCCCCCTGCTCGCTGTCCAGTGAGCCCAGCAGCCCCCGGATCTCGGAACATGCGGGTTCCGCAAGTGGGCTACTTTGGTGTCCCGTTTCTTCTATTATTATTCTGATTCTTCTGTTTATTCTTCTCATTTGTTTTCTTTGTCTTCTTCTACTTATCCCTTCTTCTTCTTCTTCTTCTTCGTCTTCTTCTTGTTCTCTTTCTTTCATGTTTATCTTTCGTCTTTTCTCCCTGTTCATCTTCTTTGTTGTCTCCTTTCTCTGCTTCTTATTCTATCGCACCATGAGGTACCCCTCTGCTGTAGGAATGGATTATTTGGGAGCTTTGTTATCCGTCAAGAACAGTTCGAAAAGAAGGGCCGTCAAGATTAATTAACTAAATTAGAAGGCCTTTGCAGTTCAGGTTGAATCAGGGAGCCCGTACTGGTGTTGACAAATGTTGACGCGCTCCCTTGACAACTTTTCTCCAAGGGAGAACAATTGGAGAATACAACCGCTGGGTGAAATTGCCTGCTGATAACCCTTTGGAAAGAGAAACTCCCCTTCTCCATGATGAGAGAGAGGAGAGAGAAAACACTCCGATCTGACCGAATGAAATATGTTCTGGATCCTCTTTGAAGTGCACTCTCTACAGGTCAAGAAAGCCTTGTCAATCTGCCACTCTCAGCAAGATCTGTCCATTCTCTGAGTCTTCACTCAATGTAAGAGCCATGCAAGTTCTGCAACTGCATGGAAAGTACCCGCCCCAGCGGGCTCGCCGAAAGTTGGTTCTCTTGTAGCACTGTCGAGGGGGGTTCCGATAAGCATGGAACCCTCCGGCCCCCAAACCCAGCATTTGCTCAGACCCCCCTATGGCTGTCGCTGTTGGGGAACAACGCGGGCACACAAAGAAGCGGGGACGATCCAAGTCTTCCTAGCTGCTAACACCTTCCCCCTGCTTCCATGGGCTACCTGTTTAAGCATGCATAAACACCACCCAAACTGATTAAATATGCTTAAAACCACCCAAACTGTTTACATGTGGTTCAATCCACCACTCTTGACACATCTTAAAACACCACCTAAACGGTTTAGATATGTTTAAACTAGCCGAATGTGTTTCAAGACATCAAACTCTTAAAACGTTTACACCAAAATGTTGAAACATGGCTGTGGGTCAAAACCCCGTACGAAGACCCCCAGTGAACATCCCAATCCCCACTAAAATAGGTTCTAAAATGGGTGGTGCACCTACCCCAACACGGTATCCCATTGGTTTTGACCCATGCCCACATGTCAAAACCAACCAGCCGTGTTGAACCACCCACCTCTCTGCACGGACCAAATGTCGGCTGCATTTAGCTCGGTTACCGAGGCAGCAGCCGTGTGCCACAGGAGGCCCAAGGCCTCACTTCAGCTTGGCAGGTGGGGTTCGGACCCCCCCAAAGGTTCAAAACCATCGCAAATTTGGGGGATCATATGTTGAATACTGTAAGGGCCTATGTACTTAGAATGGGGGTATGGGGTGAAAGCGGTAGTAGTTGTCTTGCTATCAGTAGACTATGAGGCATAAATAATTCGTGACATGCAAGTCTTCGGGGCTCTGACAACAGTTTAAATCATCAAATAGAATGGGGGTTTGGGGTGAAAGCGGTAGACTTCCCTGTGGCTTCCCCTTAGGCAGGCACATCTCCTTTGGGACTGCTTTCCATCATGAAAGCCTTTAGGCTAGGTCGGCCCTCGCACGCATTTCTCAGCAATGCAGTAAACTAAAGCGAACCTATATGGCTCCTTCTCTACAAACGATTCATTTTGCTGATGGTTTCACAGAAACCATAAAAGCAAGTTTCCTTCTAAAGACGATTCATTTTGCTGATGGAATAACACACAAACGAGATGCAAGTAGCCAGGCAAAGCTTCAGGAAACCAACAGCCAAAGAATTCTCCGACGTGAGCCGAGGGGCGGACCTCTCTTCGTCCACCTCATTCAAACTCTGCGGCTGTCGGCGCTGGAGCTGCTCCAGTCCCGGTGAGCTTGTGTTTCAGTGTCCCCACATGACACAAGTCAACTCAGCTTCCCTCGAAGTGGTGGCTTGGTGTGGTGGTTCGGAAGTTGGCTTCCAAAGCATGAACCCTACCAGAACCAATCCCCCAAGCACCCATTCCTGAGCCAATCCAAACCAATGAAGCGGTTTTCCTGGGCAATGGCGCTGGTGGCCGCTCAGTAGTGTGGACTGAGAGCTTTCCAAGTGGAGTCAAACATAGGCTATGGCCCAAGTGCCTGGAGTCATCCCCCGGTTTCTCTATCTGAATTGAATAAAAACATGTTGGAGGCCCCAGCTTTCAGCTAATATACAGCGTCTGATTGGACAGAGTCTGGCCTCAAGGAGCTCTACAGCGCCTGCATGTGCTTGCTGCTGACGAGAATACGGGTGGCTGCTCGACAGGACACACTTCCGCTCTTACAACCCCATGCACTCTTGCAACAAACTGCACGCCTTAAACGTGATGCCAGGGGCTGAATAGCACCATTTCAACTTGTATCAATACCCTCCCGGAAGAACAAAGAGAACGTAGAAACAACTCTCATGTATCATTCAGCTGCCCTTCACTTCAGGACTACATGGCCGAGTGGGTCTATGAAACCCAAGTGGCTTTATGTTGGGGTTTCCAGCGGTGGAAAATTTCAGTTTCTTTCTCGGCGGAATCTCGGTGAATGAGTGCTCTTGAAGTAAGGCCATAGTTGAGGCGTTCAAAAAAAGTCCAGCTCCCACAGATCCAGCTGGGTTCGGCCGAGGCGCACATCCTGGACATGATGAGCCCGAAGCTCTCCTCCGCCGAGGACCTCAAGGAACTGGTTTGAGCAAGAGGTGCGTCACTCAAAGAATTCACTCACGCGATCGGTGCGATAAGTAGGGAATGTGGGAATGAACCCAGGGTCCCCTTAAAGGAAGCCACACCTTATTGGGGTCATTCCCTCATTCACTGCTGAGCACCAGCAAGATAAACCCAGGAACGCAACATACAATTCCCTGGACCCAACAGAATCAGCCGAACCATCTGAGGTTATTCAACACACCAAGGAGTGTGTTTCATGTCGGTCACCTAAAATCGTTGGCCTTCATTTGGGTTTCCCTACCAAATGCCGGCCCATATTGAGAAATTCCCAGGGTCAGGCATGGAGTTTCTTCATAAACAGAGCAAGGCCTTCCTGAGACACTTGGCACTCCAACCCTTCTGGAATGGGCCATTCCAGGGCCAGCCCTCCCAGTCTTGAAAACAGGCCTCAACGGATTGCTTATTTGGCTGTGGCCCAAAAAACCGGCACCAAACTGGCCTTGGTAAATGGAGCCAAAGCCTCAAACCCGCGTAGCCCTGGCCTTTTAATTTGGAGCCACACCCATTTATCCGTTGAACACCAAATTATTTTCTGTGTTCGCTGAGCCGCCCGCTTTGCCGCCCCGGGCTTCAGAGCGCCCCAGCCAGGTACAGCCGCCGAAGCCTCCGCGATTCTTCATAGAAGCGGAGAAAGCGAAGGGAAGCAACTGGGTGTTTCCCAAAGAGGGGTCCCCGAATTCCTTTGAGAAACACCCAACTGAGCAGCTCCCGACTCCCGACCACTGCTTTTAGACAGCACTCCTTTGGACATAACATACAATCTTGGAAGACCCAAACAGAAAACTAAACAAAGGCATCCCAAACCAAAGTTGATATGGGTGTGGCTCAAAATGCAACAGGAGGGATTACGCAAGTTTTGGCTCTTTGTTTCCACTTTCCAATCGGGAGGAAGTTGGACCTGCAGTGAGGTTGGTGGCATGCATCAATGACCAGCTGAAAAGCACCTTACTCATCAAGGTAACTGGCCCACTCGGATCAGTCTGACCCATGAATTCAAAGGGGTAGGATGACACACACAAACACACACATGGGTGTGGTTGTCAAAAATAGGGTAACCCCAGAAATGGGTTGGAAACAATGACTGAAACCTGCGGTCATTTCCTGGTGGGGCAAAATTTTGCGCCATACCCACATTGGCCTTTGGTGCAAGCTGGAACCTGTTCATCCTGTCTTCCAAGGGTCGTGGTGCGAGCTGACGCCGCGCCTCACTACTCAGTACGGTTTTGGGACTCGGCCACCACTCGGCCAGCGGAAGCTTGGCACACAATTGAACTGTGCCTCCACCTGCATGCGTCAAACTCAAACCCTTGCCAGTTGCGGCTATCCACTCGTTGCATCTTTTGGGTTCGCCAGTTGTTTCCCCATCCGCCATTGGACAATTGGATGCGAGAACTAGCAAACTGACCCCCACTGGCAGGCCCCTCAAGGACAGCAGCCTCCCCCTTTGCAACTTAAGCAGGGGGCGGCTCGCGACACCTTTTCGGTGTTCATGAGTTGTGGGGAGCGAACAGAAAAAGGGAAATTAGAGGGTGCACTGAGGGTTCCCTGCTCAGCAAAGCGCATGGACGACTTCCCCAGGTCATCCTGCAGCCCCAGTAAACACACCTCACAAGTACAAGAGGGAAACCCCCTTCTTCAAACGAAGGTAGTTGGAGGGATACTCCCCACATAAACAGCCACCATTTGAGCAGTGTTTTTTTGGTGCTTCGAGGCCTATACACTACTTGCATGCCTACGCGAAGGCCTACGCAAACCTACGCGGCCTGCGAGGGGTGCCTACGCGAGCACAAGTCAGCTTCCAGGTGCCTACGCGAATGCCTCCGCGGGCAAATGTTGCGTTCAAGTGTCGAAGTGCACTGTGGCAGCTCTAGCTGGAAAATCGCAACTTTTCAGTACAAGTGCAGTTTTGGCAGCTCCGGCGCTAAGATCAGAATTGCAGTACAAATGAGAAGCCCGCATCTGTCCAAGGATCTGGCTGCCAGAAAAGGTCTACGTACCCAAAATGCCTTGAAAGCCTACGCGAATGCCTGCGCAGGGCCTACGCGGAGCCTACGCGAAGACTCCAGAACAAACAGAAGGAAGGCAAAAGAAGCAAATTCATGTATACTTGGCAAACAGCACTGAGTCATGATTTGTTCAACAAACGCCTACGCGAAAAGCCTACGCGAGGGGTGACACAACAGCCTACGCGCTGAAGGCTACGCGAGCCTACGCCCCAACCAGGATTGCCTCCGCAAAGTACATGCAATTCCCTTGTTGTATAAACCCTGCCTTTCATTTGATTAAAAAACACTGCTCATTTGGTGTGACTTCGGTCGTGTGAGGTCGTTGTAAACTTCACCCAGACACATTTCGCCTCCTTCTCTGAGCTCGTGGCATGGAGGAAGCCGTGCAGCTCTGCCGGCGTCACCTTCTTCACCGAGGCAAAGACCTCGGCCTTCGCAGCGGAAAGCGGATCGCCCATCGCCCGCCACACGAATCCTTCACGAGGGGGCGAACCACGTTTCCCCCCAAAGGGTGGCAAAGATGTTTTGCCTTTCTGGATCACTTTTCCCCAAAAGGTGGCAACATATATATAAATATAGATATATATATATATACCTTGCTGGATCACCATGGCTCTTACAAAAGCCGCGATGTGCGTTGCTCAACTTCCAAAGCGTCGGTGGTTTGGTTCCACATCATGCTCCATCCTTTTGCCGGGCGGCGGCTTCCCCCGGACAACCGACTCGCAAAAGGTGGCAAAAAGACCCCCCCTGCCACCATTGCCATGTCCGCCTTTTCTTTGGTGCATTTTGCCAAGGGATCTTAGGACTTTAACTTTTTGCCAACTCATGGGTTTTGTTTTTCCATTAAACCACAAGCTAAACTTTTAGCAGGGGAGCAAAAAACAACCGAGCAGGTGGCCGGAATGGCGAATCCCTTCCGAGCATCTCTTCGGTGGTTCACGAGTCTGGCCAACTCTTTCGATCTCCTGCCACGGATCTCACCAATGTTGACCTCAGATTTATGAACCAACCTGTTTATTTCTAGGGGAGGTGCCCGATTCTGGTTTTAGTGGGGGATTTATATCACTTTTGGAGGGGAACACCCCCCATATTCAGAAACAGGGGTTGAATCATGTGGGGTCAACATTAACATACTACACTACCCTTTAGCAGTTCCAACTCCTGGATGCAACAAAGTCCGTCACTGGGCTGAGAGACTCGAGGGCTGAGGTTTTTTTGTCCTTCCACGTCCATGATATGCAAATCAACGTTCTGGTCTAGAGGTGTTACTCACTGGCTGAGTGGATGGCCCAAAAAAAGTCCAATCCTTAAATTTTTACCACTAAAATGGTCTTCCCGAAAAGTTTAAAGCTCATGAACTCAGGAAGTGAGGTTATTTAACCTCCCGTACATGGCTTGTTAGTTCTACCCTGGAGTGGAGCTAGTGGAAAAAAGCTGCTTCTACACCCCCGAGGGCCTACCAGGCCGGCTGCAATTGGCTGCGCTTCCGCAACTCTTCGAAGGGCGCCGGACTGGCAGCCCCGGCCCCGTAAAAGCACCGCTCAGCGCCCTTGAGACGGTCGCATCCAGCATCTAGGGCTGCCAGGAAACCAGGTACCCAAAGAGCAACATTAGAATTGAACAGGGAACAGGGCGGTCATACTTCTCCTTCTACCCACACTGTATAGATTCCCAGCGGGCTTTTGCGGTTTGTGTACAGCCCTTTAGCGAGGAAACATCCCAGGTCCTCCAGTAGAGAGGTTAGAATCAGGGTACCCTTTTTCTGTCGTCTGTTATAGACGGGGAACCCTCCCAAGGGGTGAGACGCTGGGATTGCTCAACATGTCGCGCGGCGAAAAAGGTGCCACATGGCCCATATTGCACCGAGGATCCCGGCAAACAAACCTGCGCAGTCAAGCCACGGGGGTGCATGCGGGTTCACGGTGATCCGTGTTTTGTGGGGAACCCGTTCCAGGCTGCGCAAGGGAAGAGAAGAGAGTCCCGAAAGAGTGACGAAGCTTGACCGGGCGCAGCTTTTTCACTCTGAATTGCACGGAAACAAAGAGCGAACAGCAGTATTGGCGGCAGGCTAACAGCAACAGCGATTACACAAATGGTCACGGGGCACGACTCAACGAAACCACGAGCAACCGCAGCCCGCAGCTGTGACAGGAGCCATTTGCAGCCACAGCAGCAGAAACCCATACGTAAAAAAAAGGAGAAAAAAAAGAAGAAGAAGAAAAAAAACGACACAACCAGAAACTGCAAACACTGGAGTAGCTCGCGCTGGAGGCGGAGAACATTTACATCCGTTCACCGTTCGGCACCCTCGGCGCAAAAGCAATGCCCACCTTGAATGGCGTGTCCAGCTAGAGACACTTCTTGGGAGCAGTGAAAGGAAACCATCACGGCGACATGCTAAGTTGAAGCACATCAAGGTACAAGGAGCAACAGCACATTTGCCACTTGGCAACTCACTTCCTGAGTGGATTGGCCAACAAAAGTCTGAAACTGTTTTTTCCCGCGAAAATGGGCCAAGCCCAAAAACTGTTCAATCCCAGGAACTCGGGAAGTGAGGCAACCTCTCATGTTGCAAACCTAGGTGGCCTTTTGGAAAAATAGATGGCCCTGGTGAATGGAATAAACCCCATCCAAACTAGTGCCATCTATTTCTATAAAGGACACCAATGGTTGCAAACCTTTGCCTCAAGCTGTGGTCAAACATTTTTTGCAAACAAAACACGCGGCTTGCCCCAGCCAACCAACGGCCACCCGCGAGAGCCGCGACGTCGCGACGTCGCCTTCGCGCCTTGAGACCAGAGGCTGGAGAAGAAGATGGCCGCCCAGTCCTTGGCCTTCCCGCGGAGGTTGGCAAACGCAGGGCCGAATTGTTTTTTTTTTTGGCCGCTGACTCACTTCAGTGGATGGCCTGGAACAAGGCCGGGGCTTCTTTTTTTTACCGGCAAAATGGTCCAAGCTGAAAAAGGAAGGGCTGAATGAAGACATTCCGCGGGTGCCCTTGACTCACTTCCGATCGAGCGGATGGCCTGGACAAAGTCTGAACTTTTTACTCAACAGTAAAATTGTCTTCCCAAAAAGGATAGAATGCCGCTGGTGACTCACTTCACTGAATGCCGCCGCTGACTCACTTCAGTGGATGGCCTGGAACAAGGCCGGGGCTTCTTTTTTTACCGGCAAAATGGTCCAAGCTGAAAAAGGAAGGGCTGAATGAAGACATTCCGCGGGTGCCCTTGACTCACTTCCGATCGAGCGGATGGCCTGGAAAAAGTCTGAACTTTTTACTCAACAGTAAAATTGTCTTCCCAAAAAGGATAGAATGCCGCTGGTGACTCACTTCACTGAATGCCGCCGCTGACTCACTTCAGTGGATGGCCTGGAACAAGGCCGGGGCTTCTTTTTTTTTACCGCCAAAATGGGTCCAACTGAAATAGAAAGGGCTAAATGAAGACATTCCGCGGGTGTGCCCTTGACTCATCATTTCCGATCGAGGCGATGGCCTGGAAAAAGTCTGAACTTTTTACTCAACAGTAAAATTGTCTTCCCAAAAAGGATAGAATGCCGCTGGTGACTCACTTCACTGAATGCCGCTGGTGACTCACTTCAGTGGATGGCCTGGAACAAGGCCGGGGCTTCTTTTTGTACCGGCAAAATGGTCCAAGCCGAAAGCCGAAAAAGGAAGGGCTGAATGAAGACATTCCGCGGGTGTCCTTGACTCACTTCCGATCGAGCGGATGGCCTGGAAAAAGTCTGAACTTTTCAGTAAAATTGTCTTCCCAAAAAGGATAGAATGCCGCTGGTGACTCACTTCACTGAATGCCGCTGGTGACTCACTTCAGTGGATGGCCTGGAACAAGGCCGGGGCTTCTTTTTTTTACCGGCAAAATGGTCCAAGCCGAAAAAGGAAGGGCTGAATGAAGACATTCCGCGGGTGTCCTTGACTCACTTCCGATCGAGCGGATGGCCTGGAAAAAGTCTGAACTTTTTACTCAACAGTAAAATTGTCTTCCCAAAAAGGATAGGAAGCCGCTGGTGACTCACTTCACTGAATGCCGCTGGTGACTCACTTCAGTGGATGGCCTGGAACAAGGCCGGGGCTTCTTTTTTTTACCGGCAAAATGGTCCAAGCCGAAAAAGGAAGGGCTGAATGAAGACATTCCGCGGGTGTCCTTGACTCACTTCCGATCGAGCGGACGGCCTGGAAAAAGTCTGAACTTTTTACTCAACAGTAAAATTGTCTTCCCAAAAAGGATAGAATGCCGCTGGTGACTCACTTCACTGAATGCCGCTTGGAGACTCACTTCAGTGGATGGCCCGGAAAAGTCCGAACTTTCTTTTATTTGCCGGTAAAATGGTCCAAGCCCAAAAAGGATCAAGTCCAGGAACTCAGAAAGTGAGTTGATTAGAGCCAAACTATCAAAATAAACACGTTTGGACATATGATTGAATGGATGCCACCCTGATGGCTAGTTTGGGGTCCAAAACGCGAATTCCCAAGATTCGAGAACTCATGGGTTCATAGCCGTTGAGAAACATGGCATGCAGAGCTCAGCGAACTTGACGCTGCTGGAACTCCAGTCTCTCTGTTTAGACAGCCTGCTCCCCTGTCACATCTTCCCGTACACTACCTACTCAAACCCCCGTATATGACACGTCTTCCCATACCTACAAGACCTGCCACAGCCTGCCACACCCCGCCGTGTTTCCATACAAGACCTCTCTTGAGACCGTCGATCTAGCTGGGAAGAGTACCGTTCCGCTCCCGCAAGATGAAAGTAAAATTTCGTCATGTTGATCATCACTGCTACAACACGAAACATACGTGGGATAGTGTCTACAAGGAAAGCAGCTAGCTTTGAAGGGCCCTCTTTTTAGAGATCCCTATATATATATATATCCATTCCGTGCGTTGGGCATGTGTGGACTTTTTGACTTCTGGGGATCGTCTCAAACATCGCCTCAGATTCGGATTCACTTGGCAAACGGGCGGTGGGCAAGCAGGAGGAGACCGACTTGGCGACACACTTGACACTGGTCCGAAAGACCTGAACACTTCAAGGCAGAAGCAGCCAAGGCTGTGCCTCGTGCCAACCTTACTCAAGAAAAACGACTATACTTCACATCTCCGAAAGAAGCCATCCCCCCAAAACACGCCTTTCACGTCAAGACCTCATGTTTTTTCACCTTTCACTAGACTGCCCGCGTGCCAGAAATCCCACGCGAGCGACCTCCCCGTTCCGCCCGCCGCCTTGGCTGCCACCGCAGGGCTCACCTCCTCGACCTCAAGCCGAGCGAAGCCGAGCTTCCGGCTCAACCGGCCCATGGCGTCCTGTCTTTAGGTCCTCCAGATTTGAGAGGTTAGAAGAAGTGGGTGCCCGATTTTTTTCGGTTTTGTCTATTTGTTAGAAGTTGGTACCCGTTTTTGTTTCCGGTTTTGTCTATTTGAGTAGGGGAACCCGAATCTCCCCCAAAAAAGAAACCTGAGAAAGGGCACACCAATGGCTGGGGGACCTACTTTGGGCTTGTTTTGAGATTGCCCTCCCAACATGGCAGACAGGAAATCGGTCCCTTGAAGAGGACCTTTCTTTCTTGGTCCTTGGAAGAAGACCTTCTTCAACAATTGAAGATTTTAGCCATTGGATTTCAACCACTGAACCACAAATTCAGCAAAAATGGGAAACATGTGTCCCAACAACAGCCATGCTTTGGGAATGTGTTTTTTTGTTTGAGAGTACCCCTTTTTGCGTGTCTTGGAGGGAAACCAGAAGGAAAACCCGAAGCCATTTTGTGGGGCAAACAAAAGCACCATTTTGCGGATACCTTGAAAAGTCCCACCCATTGGGCGTGGAGTTGAGGTCTGTCTGGTTTACCTTTAAACCCAACCAAAGAGTACCAACTCCACACGAAACCCTGGTCATCTGGCCAGGGGTCAAAATCCCGTACCCCCAGTGAACATCCCAATCCTCACTGAAATAGACTAAAATGGGTCCCCAAAATGGTACTCTTGGTTTTGAGCCACAGCCGTCTCATTTCCTTGAAGCCAAGCTCCTGGCCAGAGCAAAAGGACAAGAAGGGTGAGCACGAGCTGACTCAGAAACAGGGAGCTGTAACTGACTTGACCAGCCTATGCAGCCTATGACAAAAAGCTGCACCATATTTACCATGTTTCGCTTGTACAGTGATTAATTAAGTGTCATCCCAACCCAGAGCCAAACTTCTAATTTTGGAAAGAACCTTAAACGGGAACAATGGGCTCCTCCACACTGAGCGGAAAGAAAACCTCTCATGTTTGGTCAAAGATCGTGGAAGGGCGTGTTCTTGCCGACCTCTTGCTCGATCTGGTGAGTGGCATGCTGCAGCACAAAGGGCTCAACAAATCAAGTTCACCCCCTCAACCAGCTTGCTCTCTTCCCAACTTGATATCTCGGCAGACCTCGATACATCGATTGCCATCGAAACTTTGGCCATTTCTCTGCGCGGCACTGTTGTTTTGACTGACCACCCCCAGAGTTGTGTAGTGAAGTTTGCGGGGGCATTTGTCAAGACGTAGGTGGGAAACCAAGCCATCGACCAACTACGCCCGAAGAGCAGCCCATGACTTTTTTTGCATCTCCTGTGACTTTTTCAAACGCAACACGCTTGGCCTCCCCATGTTAGGGAGCCGGCATGCACACTCGATGGCCCCGGAGCTCAGGCTGCTGCGAAGCTGAACCAGGAGTTCCGACACTGGGGGCACTTGCCGCGGCTCTCAGAAGTGCTGGACAGGACGCCCTGGGGGTGCCAAGGGACGCCCGGCTCCAACCCAACCGAAAACGCCCTTGGAAGGGACTCCAAGCCAACCGACCCCCGGCAACCGGCAGAAAGGGGCTTTAAACATGTCTGAACACGGCGAGTGGTTTGAAGCTGACTCGCTTTTTCTTTCTTTTTCCGGCTTCCCTTCAGAAGGCCGCCAAATGCTGGTTGAAGCCAACTTGGCTCTGGTTTCCCTAAAGAAGCCAAAGGCTTGAACCCATGTTTCAGTTTTTTTTTTCCGCGCCTGGAAGCAGGTCCTGTGATACATGTGGTTGCACTGCAGCACGATCTGCGGGCGCCCAGCTTCGTCCAAGGGCTCCAGGCAGATAGCGCAAAGCTCTTTGGCTTCACTGCCACCTTTCAGCGCAGTGCCTGGAGTCGCAAAGACATCCCCCCTACAAGGGGGACGGGGGTGGGGGGTGGCCAATTCCATGTATCTAATGGAACCGCAAATGGGATTCCAAGGGTCACCCCCCTCCCCCTTTAAGGGGGTGGGGATGCAAGGAAAGCCCGGGCTTGCAAGCGGGTGTCTTGCGGGAACCCTTTTTGGGGTTAATATGTTGAGGGCTCCCTATCAGAGACAAACCCAAGTGAGCGGGAAACCAAAAACTCATTTCCCAAACGACTCAAAGGGTGTGCTTTTTTGGTTGAGGGTATCCCTTTGGGGCTTGTTTCAAAGAGAAAACCAAAACTTACCCCTTAGAACTCCAAGCCCTGGGGAAGTTATTTTACAGACATATAGCCCATGTTACCCAAAAAGTTGAAAAGTTGTGTTTTTAAGAGGTAAGAAAAGGAAAACCACCCATTTGGGGACCAAAACCCTTTGGACAAAAAACCCAAAGTCGGGTTGTCAGATTGTCACGAGGGCGACCAAGTTGCGATATCGCCGGGCAGCATCGGGCAGATCCATATTCTCGCACAGGTTGGAGAGATTTGTGAGGATGTTCTCCTCCACCCGGCGATCTCCAATCTGCCTGGAGAGCAATTCACTCATGAACTGCGTTGAGTGATGTATGTTGCGAGAGGTGTCTTGAGAGAGGATGAGATTGCATGCTGGCCTACCCTGCACTGCACACAAGAGCTTCCCACAACTCTGAGTTATGGGTGCCTCTCATCCTGCTTGTCCGATTCCCTTTGCTTATCTTGCATGTTTGACCAAGCACCTTCCAGCTCAACCCCAACTGGAACAGAACATAGGCTCCCCCCTGTCCATCATCATTTCCCTCAAACCCGCCAAGGAAAAATGAGTGGCATGGACAGGGCCTTTTCTCGGGGATACTCCCGCCCCTTCCACTTGGACCCGTCTCAAGATGGGGGCACCCCATTCTATCTCCTTTTACCAACAGGATAATTTCCGTCGCCAACCAAACACACCGCTCACCCACTTCCCTATCACTACTTTTTTGTTTTTGATTTGTTTTATCCCAGCAACCTGCATCAAATGGACAAATCCCCGCAGATCCCTCAGCAACCCGCAGATCCACCCGGGACCCGCCGAGTGGGAGCCTTCGCCTTCGCCCCGCTTCGCGCTTCGCCCCCGGCCCGGCGCCTCGCCAAGCTCAGCGCGCGCTCGTACTCCTTGCGAGCCTCCTCGAAGTTCCCGGCGCCGCACAGCGCCGAGGCAAAGTTGGCGAGAAGCGTCACCTCACAGATCGCCGGCCATAGGACCAAAAGGCACCCCCTGTTTTTTACTGGCTTTGGGGTCCGCTGATTTGGAGGTTTCAAGAAAAAATCCCACTCATAAAAGGAAAGGGAAAGAAAAGCGCACCTATAGAAACTCTTCCTCCCACAAACATAATGGGAGGGTACCTGAAGATAAATTTCCTCAAGCGACCTGCTGTCAGGTGCCATGCTAGTGGGAGGGTAGCTAGTTTTAAAGCGACCACTTCCCCTCTCCGAAGACTTGAACAAAAGGCACCACTGGAGGTTTTGGTAGTTGACTTAGGAACTCCAAGTCGACCGCTCAGCCCTCCGATGCTCGAGGCTGTGCCACTCTTTTTAGAGGCTTTGCCTTCTTTTCTGATGTAAGGGTTGAAGCAATTAAACTACTTAGATGCCCAGTAGCAAGAGAAAAAGAGCATCTTTTTTTTGGTTGGTTGAGTTTAAAGGGATCCCTTCCCGAAAAACAAAAAAGAAGGAAAAAGCACCACTGCGCACCCGGGACTAGCAATGATTCCTTGGATTCAAGGGGCTTTACCCGAACAGGACTGTTCGAGAAAGACATCAATGGCTAGCAGTATCCGCCATGGTCATAGCAACAATAGTGATCACAACAGCAACACATGTGCACAGTGGTATGAAGGTAGAAATAGCCATCATCACAACATCAGCGACACAAGCGGCAACGTTTCTCAAAGCAGAAGCGCCACAAGTACTAGTGAGGACGAAACCTATGTCTTATGTTGCGCGTCGCAAAAGAAAGCACAGCTAAGTCATGATAGTCGAGCACCGGAAGGTCCCCAGAAAGTAAACTGTTCTGAGAACATTCCGGTCTGGCTTCGTGACCCAGGTTTGCACGCCCTGTGTCTTTTTGGCTATCCAATTCTCCCGTGGTTGCGATTTCTTCATTTTACGTGTCATTGGCACACGCAGCGCATCGCCATCACTGAAGTTTCTAGTTGTTGAGTCAGCCCGCAAACAAGCGCGGAATCCGTGTTCTCTTTTACGCGGGCTGCAACCATTGGTGCACTTCCGTGTTGGCCGGGACAGTACTGTATAAAAACGTACATTGCACATGTGCTCACGCAGGCGCCTTGTGGATAAGTGTCAAGCGCTCAGGTTCTGCACTTCTTTCACGCGATCCTTTCTTGGCTCAACAAATTTTAGTCAAGTTGGGATTGGCTGGCTGGCTATTTGACTGGCTCATTGGCTGGCTGGCTGGCTGGCTGGCTGGCTGGCTGCCTGGCTCACTGACTAGCTAGCCCGATCATGTGTGCACATTTGTGCTGGCAGGTGCTCACCATCGATACTTGTAAATCTGAAAGGTCATCCCGACAAAGCGATGTGCAATGAAAGAACCCTTCTGGCAAGAAAGCCTGGCTACGGATGTCAACCAGCCAGTCAATGCAACATCTATCGTTCATATCGCCTGTGACATGCATCAACAACATGAACGTAGCAATCAGGAGGGCTAAACAAATACTATGCCATCGGCTCGCCCCAAAGTCGCACTAGTTCGACCCAGTGAGTGGCGCCAACTTGTTTTGGCATCATACTGTGCATGGACAAAATCCTGCACCAACTTGAAATTAATGGGAAACCATTGTTGTTTGGTATTTACAAAGAAATCATCATTCCAGGATTTTGTCCATCCACAGTATGACGGATATCACAAGGATTTGTGAAAATGCTTCAAGCGCAACCCTTCTGCGAAACCCTCCTTCGCCCTGCGAATCTTTCATGAGGCTGTCTTGCTCAGGGGTTCGACAAACAGCGACACAAGTGGGTCATGGAGTATCCTCGCATCTTCTCCCAAACCTGCCGGTCCCT